GCTTTGTCTAATGCTTTGAACCTTCATCCATTTTTTTGCTTTGAGAATGACACATTTTGAGATGAAATAGGTTGCTACTTGGTAATTATCATGGCACTAATGGCATAATATTGCCATAAAATGAGGGAAGAATGGCTTGCTCGCAACGGACTTGTTCCAAACATGAAAATTAAATATTTGCTGTGGTAGTCGGCAGAAGTTTGAGTAGGGGACCTTATTGGTGGTGGCCTGACCTTATTATAGTGATTACAGTCGTAGACTTAGATTAGGCTGTGGAACTATTTTTTGGAGTAGCAACTTGGGATTGATGGGGACTTCTATTTTTTCCTGTGGACGTGAGAGGATTTGAATTTTGGGTCCTCTTGTTTACAGTGAACAGCAGTGCACCATGTTAATTAGCTGTCCCTGACTCATACTCATCTGGCTAGCAAACTGCAATGCTAATCTTTTTTATCCTTTTTCTTTGCCTATATGTTGAACCTGTCTTGATTTCCATATTTATTAAGTCGTAATTTCATTTCCTGATGATCTTTGAACGCTCCTCGTCTGAGAATATCAGTGGTGGGCTAAAATCTCTTAATTTTCTCTGTTTCTAACGGTTAGGAATCTGAATTTTAAAGTTATGTGTAAATCTCACACTGACTTACAAAAATCATTTTGCGACTTTTATCATGAACGTCTTGCAGTTAGGTTGTTATTTGCCTCCATAATAAGATGGTAATTGTTATCATGAAGGGTGCAGTTCTTTCTACCTGTAATTAGCTACGTTAGTTGTCAAAAAACGGATGTATATAACATGCTTCTTAGATTTGTCAAAACATCTATGTTTCTTTTTTCAAATTTAGTTCTACTCTCTTACTTGGTTTTCACTGCTTGATAGTCCATATCTTCTTCTAGGTTTGGAGTGTATTGTTTCCTTGTACCTCCATTTTTGTTAGACATGATTGCATTACTTCCCTTATGTCCTAGATACTTTCTTTTTCCCTTGGATCAAGTCCACTCTTTGCTCACTTCTGTAACAGCCTGCTACTTTTAGCTCATCTAAGGGACAAGGAATGGAAATCAAATTTCGCTGGTATTTTGGTTCTAAAACCTAAGAGATGATGATGGACGATCCATCGTCTCTCATCTTCACCATCTTTTTCAATAATTTTATATGGCATTCTTTTGTGATATCCAATCGTTCATACACTCACTATTTTTCAGCTTTTGCTTCTTATTTTGATTTAGCTGAAAAGGATCCTAAGAGAGGGCTCACTATGTTAAACCCTATTGTTCACGCTTTCCCTTCTCCTTCATGGTTAAAAGGGGGAAAAGAAGAAAAAATATAAGGAACAAATTGTTACAACTGAACAAATTGTTTCATTTGTTACCTCCATTCTCAATTTTCTTTCATTTGTTAATATGAATGTAAATTTTTTTATGGGGCCTTCTAGGTGTTTTTTTTTGGGCCAAGAGGGGCTATATATGTCTACAGTGGATAAATTGCTATCATTGTTTTTTATATTAATCTTTTCCTAAAAAATTCAGTGGTATTAATTCCTAGAATTTTGTTTAAATTTTACACTGACAATGTGTCAATACTAACTTTTAATCAAAATCCCTTTGTTAGCTGAATTAGTGAATTGAAATTAAAAGAAAAAAAAAAAAGCAAGGCCAAAGTTTGTCAAAAAAATGTAGGTTAAGTTTTCACTCTAGTGATAAGTGCAAATTCACCACTATATTTGTAAGGGTGGATCGTCAAATTTTCTATTGGCGCAATTTTATCATTATATTTTTAATTTTGAAGTTAAAATTTTATCATTGTATTTTAAATTTTAGAGTAATTAAAGAATATTCAATGGAAATTTTTGTTAGAAATTGTTTAGAGTTCAAAAAATAATTTTTAAAATGAAATGGCAAAAAAAAGCCAACCATGAAGCTAAAATTTAATTTTTATTTTATTTATTTTTGTCATGGTATTTTCTATTATATATAATGTCACATAATTTAAAATTTTTTATTTCATCATAACATTTTCTAATACATGTAAAATATCAAACCATTTTTTTTCTGTTGATTTTGATTTTTTTTCATAAAATTTTTACTAAATATTATTTAATTGTTCTAAATTTTTGAAATATAATGGTACATTTACTCTAAAATAAAAAAAATAATTGTAGAATTACACTACTTAAAAAATTAATAGTAAATTTAAATCATTCAAGTAAATAATAAATTTGTACCTTTTACCCTCAATTTTAAAATGACCAGAAATTCGATTAAATTGGATTATATTTATACCGAAAGAACATACAAGAGATTAGAGACCATTTTCAATAGCCAAAGCACATTAAATCACCAAGGTTGATGAACTTGGTCTTATATTTTACTATCTAACCAGCTGGGGCCTCCAAAATGGTCTAATTTTAAGTCCACTAATTTGCAACAATTTTCCCCCTGTTGTTCTTCCATTAATCTTTGTGTCCCATCGGTAACGTCTCTCTATCAACTTTGTATATTGATATTTAAAATATTTTAGGTAAATTATTTTTTATAAAATTGTATTTGAAAATTTTTAGAAAGTATTTTTTGCACATTTTAATTAGCAATATATTTAAAACAAAGTGAAGTCAAAATAAAAATTAAATGATGAATTGAATAAATTAAGACTCGATTATCTTAGGGTTTTTTTCTTTCTTTCTTTTGTCATTTTCATTTCCCCTTTTCTACATTGAACTTTTGTACCTTTACAATGCACATTTATTCCCATACTTTGATAATACGATCATAACTCATAAATATATATCTTCTTATTTTGTTTGGTAATTTAATTTTTTAAATGATTTTAAAGTGCATTCTCTTTCTATCAACTCATTATATATAAAATTTTGCTTTTAAAATATTTTATACCAAAATTAAATCTTGACAAAAAACTTATTTTTTCATGATTATTCTTTAAAAATTTGATTTGATAATATAAAAATTGGGAAAAGAAATTGATGAAAAAAATGGTTTGGAGGGTTTAATTACAAGGGACAAGATTAATTACTTAATAGAAAAGACTATTGGCCTACATGTTTCCCTTTGAAGTCCAGGAAAAAACAAAAGGATCTTCGTAGTCATTTTCATAACTATCAAATTATTCATCCCCTTTCTTTCAACCACCATATGCTAACAATTAACCCTTTTTTTTAGTTTTGTGGCTTTTGGGCCATATTAATAATCATATATAATTTAATTAAAAAGAAACATAATCATATTTGGAAGTAGCTTAACCTATCTTCAAGTAAAAACAAATTACACAGGTCCACTGAAAATAATAGACATATCCATAACCATGCATGCATGCTATATATGGTCCTTTTGAGCTTAGCTATATGTGACAAACATGTCCATAACAACTATATATCTATCATCCAAAATTTTCTTAATTTCAAGGTTATTGTTAAAATTTCACAGTTTATATTTACATGTATGTATATTTTTTTATATGCTTAATATTTTAATTAAAAAGTAACATAACAACTGAACCTATCTTGAAAAGATTAATTACTTTTCATATAGAAGATTAAGGGTTAAAATAATAATAATAATAAGAAAAACGCTTAATTTTATTATTTTATTTAAATAAAAATTTATACTTTTATTAGTTTTTAATTTTTAATTTATATTTAAATAAACTTTTAACTTATATTCAAATAAGCCTTTAATATTTAATTTATATATAAATAAATTTTTAATATAAATCAATATTTTAGTTGAAGTAAATATTTATATGGATACAAATGAAATGGTAAAAACTTATTTAGATACAATAAAAATATAAAAATTTATTTAAATAAAATTAAATAGTTTAATGTCTTTTTTAATATTTTAGTCAATATTAAAATATAAAAAGAGGTGCATAATAAAAATATAATAAAATGAAAGTATAAACACATTAATGCTATTTTTTAAAGATATAAATCAATTAAATTAAGCAATGAATTCAAGCTTAAACTTAATTCATTTTCTAATTTTTTAATTTCTAATTAATAGTAGTAATAAATAAGGTCTTCAAAATTTAATGGCATATCCTTCGTAATATTTGTTTCCCTTAAACATGTCTAGATTTTCCTCAACGAAATTAATGTTTTACAAATAGCAGAAGATCCAATAGCAGGTAAGCTAGGTTTCAGAATAATAAACAAGTTAAAGAGCCACCGTCTTCAGCCGCCTTGTACAAGCACGAAGCAGGATCGATACGATTGTTTAATTCATGATAAACATTTTCGAAACCCCACCACGGCAGCTGGTTAGTACTTACTGCTTTTTTTTTTCTTCTTCAATTCAGTTTGATCTCGCCAAGTGGCCATCATCTGAAAATTAAACTTTTTTTTTTATTCTTATAGGGTATCAATTTTCCTTTCATTTGTCTCGTATGATAAGACTATAAATAATTTTGACCATGAATGATTGACAAATATTTGATGTATCCCTCCCGATCTACAGCCATAAAATTATTCATGTTTTTTATGCTGATTAATGTAATTTAAATGGTCAGAAAATTTATCAGCACGTTTGGTAGGTAGCCAAACTTTAAATTGTACAATCGTAAGTAGTTGCTGCAACTCTATTACAAACCAAGCTATTCCCTACACTTCAGGTTATTTGAAGACAAACAATTGAATTTAATTCAATTCGAATATTAGACATTTCCTGCAATTTCACTTGAACCACTTGTGCACATTGTAATTACTCATTAATCATCATGCCTACCTAAAGACCGATCACATAGCAACGGAAAAAGTATATGGCAAAGGCAGAATTTTTTTAATATATATAAAAAAATCGTAATTTAATTAAAATAAAAAAATAAATTATAAGTATAAAAATTTTAATTTTGAATTTATTAAATGTAATATTTTAAAATTTATTGTATAAACCGATTAAATCAAAATTTGAATTAAAAAATAACTTATTTTTCTTTAATTTACCCTTTCTCTTCCTCAAGAAATTAAAAAACCTCAATTCAACATTTCAACCCTCTTTGATACTCCACATGACACTGTTTCTTTCTTTCTTATCACTTTCTAGTTTTAAATAGAGTTGCATTCAACAAAAATTGAGAACCAAGGGTACTAGATTAAGGTAAAAATAAACACCCCATTTCATTTTTTTTCCTCCAAGAGTTGAATTTTTGGTGGGACCTAATGGGACAATTGCCCTGATGTAGAAGCAGGACTGCACCCCAAGATAAGGTTTGCACCAAACAAACAATCATATCCCTCATTTTGCCCCAACCACCATATGCCAATTCACACTAATTCTATTCCTCCTTTACTATAAAGTCCAATCTAGAGCAAATACATTTGCACATTAAATTAGTACTCCATCAAAACCATACACCCAAAATTAATCCATTTTCCCCCAACTTCAGTACACATCTCTCTATATATCTGAGTCTCATCTCAATTTCTTTTTCTTCTCTTGCTAAATATTCTCTTAACTCCAAAGCCTTCTGATCTCTTCTTGTTTTCTCAGCTTGAGATCTTGTCATCTCCACCGTCTAAACCAACCCCACTAAAAGTAGCAGCTGCACCACCTGAAGTCATGAATGCCAAGGCCTGTTGCAAGCACGACTATAAGCAAAAGCTTGTCAAGCGCATATTGATAGGCATTGTTGGGTTGTTGGTCGCTTTTGGCACAGTGGTTTTCCTTCTATGGGCAATTCTCCACCCTGCCAAGCCCCGGTTCATCCTCCAGGATGTGACTATCTATGCTTTCAACCTCACAGCCCCAAACTTCCTCACTTCAAACATGCAAGTCACTGTATCTTCCAGGAACCCCAATGACAGGATCGGAATTTACTACCAAAAACTCGATATCATCGCATCTTATCGTAACCAGCAAATAACCTTACCGACACTGCTACCAAGAACCTACCACGGCCACCAGGACGTCACTATTTGGTCCCCATTTTTGTGCGGCAATGCTGTGCCTGTGGCTCCATTTCTTGAGGAAGGGTTGAGTCAGGACATGAATGCTGGATTGGTGCTGCTCAACATTAAGGTTTTCGGGCATTTGAAATGGAAGGTAGGGACTTGGATTTCAAGTCGGTATCAAATTAACGCCAATTGTCCAGCTTATATTTCGTTTAGTGATTTAACTAAGGCAATCCAAGTTGGTCCTGCTATGAAGTATCAGCTTGTGCAAATTTGCAGTGTGGATATTTCTCGTAACTAGTTAATTTTTTTTTGTCTCATCCAAAAAAAAGTCTGTATCCCCTTATTGTTAGTTATATGACTTTTTTTAATATATAATAATTATTATATCATGTGACTACTTTTACATTCATGTATATATATATATATATATAACTATTCATTCAGTCTTTTGGTTTTTTTGTTAAGTTAAAATGACAAAGAAATTTCTTGGAAATTGAAGGATTGAGATTTAATTTTGAACCTATAGACACTCCCCTTGAAAGGGTAGTTGACTATGGAGTCAAGATTTGTGGTTTCGCTTTAACATGTTTCTTTAATTTTTAGTTACAATTTACAAGTTGGCTCTTTTTTATTCAACAGAGAACTTGGCCATTTTGTTTAGCTTTGTTGAATTTTAGTTTTGATTGTAACTGTAGCTTGTACAGGAGTAAATTTTTGGTGGATTCACAAGGATAGAAAGAAAGGGAACGCATGCCAGACTAGCTGGTGCCCACTCCAGCGCTATAAATTCATTGTTCATCTTATTATGAGTAAATTACAAGAGGGTCCTTCAGTATGTGTATGTGTCACGGTTCGTGCGTCCGCCCTAGACGGCTTAAGTTCTCGGTCCGTAACACATACATGACCAGTCTGTTTTTTTCCTTTTATTTTTCACCCTCTCAATTTCATTTTCTGGCATGTATATTAATTACAGAATCACGAGAACTGCTCTCAGAAATCTTCATCAAAACTCAAAAGGGAAAAATACAACAAATTTGATACTATAATTATCAAGAAAAAAAAAAATGCTATCATTGTTATCAAATTCTGGAGTTGTTTGACTGTAGTCAGTCCTATGTCCTTGGAAACTGCAGAAGCTTCATCAACTTTATTCAATCTGTGATTCATTTCTGATTTTTTTTTTTGGGAGGTGGGGAAATTAAACATCGATTTCGACAAAAACGCATATGTTTATTTCTAGTTTATCGTATAATAGCATTTTTTTTTATCCTGTCCATCGAACCAGGACATTGAGTAAACCGCCTCAAGTTCTCTCTAAAGTTAAATTAAACAGCAAACGTTGGTTAAATCAAGTTTTAATGCTCTTTTTTTCTTCTTTCTTAATTTCTTTGGGGTCAGTTCAAAACTTTGCTCATTCCTGGGGTATCCAATGGCTAAAGACCAATTCCAGGGCCAGCAATGGTTTTCGAGTTTCAACTGTAAACTTTTGTCAACACAGAACATGTTGGGTGCAATTAATATTAGCTGGTCGGCCAAACCAACGGAATCATGGGGTGTTTTTTCTGGTGAGATCGAAGCCTTGAGAAACGCTATAAAATTGTAAAGCAGTCCGAGTAGGGAGAAAGAAATCTAGGCTTTTTTTTTTTTTTGAACACTGTAAAAGTTGGGGTTTGCTGATTCTAAGAGAAGAGGGTGATTACTTCACCTACTTACATGTCTTTGGAATAAGTCTTTCACTACAACTAGTTTGGTTCTTCTCACAACTTGTAGGCACCAATTTTCTTTATTATTATTATTATTATTATTATTCTTTAAAATAAAAGGAAAAAAAGTTAAAAAAAAAAGAAGTCTTTGATTTTAACTTTGAGAGTCGAAATCTGTTAGAGTGATTTAAAATTTTTTTTTGACATTGACTAATTTGGCAGTATAAAATTCAGTGACCAAAAGTCATCGGATAGACACAAATTTTCTACAAAAGAATCTCAAAAGATCTTGGATCTTGAATCCCAAAAGCTTTATAAATATAGTTAAGTTCTTCAAAAACAAAGGAAGACAAAAGAAAAAAAAAAAGGAATATTGTCAACAAAAAAAAAGATCACAGTCCTCTTTGAAGAACCAGTAGCACACAAAAAAAAATTTCAAAAATAAAATTTTAGATCTATGAGGTTAGAGATTTTTTTTTGAAAAAAATATGGGTTTGATGGAGTGTTTAAAAAACAAAAAGGATCATTGGAGGAATTTTTGAGAATTTTTGAAAATTTGTTTGGGTCGTTGAAAACTGAAAAAGTTTGAATTTTTCGGCCACCGAAATCTTAGATTTTTTAATTTTTCGGCGCCGTTGAAGTTTTCGATCACCGATGCACGACAGCGATAGGCCGAAAACTGGGTATCCACTGCGGCCAGTGAGAGGGGTTGAATTTTTAAATAGAGAGGCTCTAGGTTACAGAGAGAGGGGAAAGAAAAAATAAGAAAAAAAAAAAACAAAAATAGGTCTTTTATAGGCCCTTCAAAACGAGTTTTTGGACGTCTGAATCAAGTCCGACTCGTGTAGGATCCGCACGCTAACCTGCGCCCCAACCCGACCTGTTTCGCAGGTTTTTTTTTATTATTTTGATTTTATTTATTTTGTATTGATTTTTATGTTGATTTTTTTATTTTTTTTCATGATATTATTGTTATTATTATTATTGTTATTTTATATTAATAATTCTTAAAATAAAAATAAAACTAAAATAATATAAGGACTTAAAATATAATATAAAAAAATTTAATAATAATTTTTTAATGAAAATAAAATTTTATTACAAGCAAAAATATTATTTAAATTTCACCAAAGTGTTGAGATAATTAAAAAAATAATTTTTGCTAAAAAATAATAAATTATAAAAATGATAAATAAAATAAAAATAAATTGTTTAAATGAATCTTTAAATGTAATTTTTAAAGAAAGCTAAAAGAGTTTAGTTTTTTTAATTATTACAAGTAAAAATAATTTTTTCAGATTCCATCATAAAGTTGAGATAATCCAAAATTATTTTTACTAAAATAAAGATTGATTTAGACAATGTTAAACAATAATAAAAATGAAAATAAAAAATAATAATAATTGATATTTAAAATTTAAAAAAAAATAAAAATTGAAAGAGTTCGATTTTCTTTAATACGAGCAAGATATAAATATTTAGATTTCTCCGGTGAGTCGGGATAATCTAATTTTTTTATAATAAAAATAATTAATAAATAATAAAAAGTTTTTTTTAAATAATCATAATAAAAATTAATTAATAAATTCCTTTAATTATAAAAAAAAATAATTTTATTTAGGATAGTGTCAAAAGGTTGAGATGATCCTAAAACTTGTTCAAAACTTTTAGGATTTCACCGAAAAGTCGAGATAATCTTAAAACTTATTTAATAAATTTTAGAAACTCACCAAAAAATCGGGATGTTCCTAAAATCCTTTTCAAAACAAATAATTAAAATATCTTATGACGAAATTTCAAGAATTTTGTGAATGGTCAATTTTCTCGAAATATTTTTTAAATAGTGATTTTCTATCAATTTCACCAAAGCGTTGGAGAATTTATAGAATACGAAACAATAATAATGTTAATTTCGAAACAGAGAAAAATGTTTTAAAATAAATTTTAGAAAATTAAACTTAAATAAAAAAGATTACGATATCAAATTATAGGATTACGTATGTTTAAATGGTATCGTTCTTCGAACGGGCAACGTGAGGGTGCTACTACCTTCCTCACTCATAACCATACTGCCAGACCTAGTCCTGATTTCAAATCTAAACTTCTTTTAGTAAGTTTTAATTAATTTTAAAATTTTTTTACTTAAAGATGATATTTTGGGTGGCCAATTACATCTTATAAAAAGATTGATGACGACTTGAAAAATTTTCATCAAGCTAACGATCGAGTCTCCCCAGATGAAAAATCGTTATGATAGCTTGGCAACTCCGCTGGGGACACTTGAGAATCAAGCCAAAAATTAAACATTCGTCATCCAAAATTTGAGATTATGGTCTTTTCGATATTAAATTTTAATTTCTTATCTCAGAATAATTTTTTGTTTGGTTTCGTTTGGTTTTGATATGTTATTATTTTATTGCTAATTATATTGTTAATTTTATTAATAATTGAGTACATTCCCTCACACATGTGCACATTTGCATTCATGCACGAACTCTATACCCGAGCTCCCAAATCTATCCCTTTTTAGGAGAGAGTAGAGTACCTACACTTTCGTGAGGTTATAATACCTCCGCTTGGGCTAGCGAAATACTTCCACTCAAGTTGAACCATTTTCGTCGGTAACCCGTTATGGGTGAGGATCAAGGGCCTTACTAGTCTAGAGTGGATGATAGTGAGGATCAATTTGAGAACCTTTTTAGCCTATGTTAATTACCAAACCATGCATATAGTGAAACTTAGGAAACCAACCTTAGATAGGGCATACCATTTTTGTTGATTATATCGTAAATTAGGACACATGAGGGACTATTTATTTTAATGTGATTACTAACCCTATTTTGTTTTGCTCTCCTTTTGTTTCATGATCATCCATCATCATAAACACTTGCATATGGGATGTGCTTATCAATATGTCAATATCAATAAGAAGATTTTCAATCTTGCTTCGAAAACACTATCATGATGTTCTCAGCTTCGAAGCTCACCATGTGTAAAGAGACCAATGTAGTGATAGCTTTATCATTAGAAGCCCAAAGTAGAATGGAAAATTATTTGACAAAATTTGAACAAGAAATTTTGCCTGAAGAAATCAAGTTGGGACTTCAGCAAAATGACATCTTTGAGTTGGTCGAGATCTGGCGCTATGTAACAACTTATAAGAAATGGCTTTCGAGGAAAAATATAGTCATATTGCTTCACTGCTTGAGGTGCCTACAAAAAATCAGTTGATAAGAGCTTTAGTTCAGTTTGGGATCCTGCATACAGATGTTTCATATTCAATGAAATAGATATGACCCCGACGATTAAAGAATATGCTACATTGTTATGGTTGCATTTTCCCAATCAAGACAAAATCTATTGAAAAGGTCAAAAACTTGGATCTCAAAAGAAACTCGCTTGTATGATAGAGGTCCCCACTCAGAATGTGAACTTGTATATCTAAACAAAAGGCCAAAGTGATTGCATCCCATGAGAAATCGTACATGATTACATCATCAAATACTTAAAGGAAGAACGAGGCATGAGAATGATAGTTTTGGCAATTTATGGCTTGATCATCTTTTTGAAAGTCCTGGGGCACATTGAAGTATCA